TCCATATTCGTTAGCAGGGAGAGGCAGGGATGTGTTAAAAATCAACACAGGGGACTTTCTGCCTCTTCTGTTTCCCCTGGATTTTTTTCATGCAGCCTCAGTCTGTCTAGAAGAGAGTATTATAGTAAAAAAGTATCCCAGCAGTAACTTTAGAAAAGGACCAAACTGATGAGTATACATATACCTCAGCAATAGTTCACCAGTGAACCATCCGTCTCCCTACTGCTAGTGCGTCCTGCAGTCTGGTCTTCTTTCCAGTTGTCCATGGAGAACAAATGATGAGGGGGTAGAAGAGGTAAACAGAGACATCTGTTCACGCCCGTTTCTAACCAACACAATCTCCTACTCAGTCACGGGGGAGAGTGTGGATTCTGACAGTGAGTCAGACCAAAGGGAGGCGGTGTGAGAGGTGGCTTTGGTTTGGTCTATGGAGGGAGGCAGCTGTGACTTGAACACTGCATACTGATGAGCTGGAGCAATTTCTCTATTTCCCTCCTAATTAAAGGGGCATTTGCTCCCCAACTGGTCTGCTGTGGGCGGCGTGTTGTACACCATAGCTCCAGTAAGCTAGACTCTCTACTACAAGGAGGTGAAAAGTGGGATCCCCCTCAGAAAAAGCTTAAACTTAATTTTCCTCCCACTCCTTTGCCTCTTTCTCTTCTCCAAGGTTGTTCAGTTGTGGAAGATACAGAAGCTCCAATTTAGAAACTGAAAACAAAATGACCACCCTCAATCATAAGATGCAATAAAATAACGCCTTATATGCAGTATCACCGTGAAGCTTCTATATATCTGTGAGATAGAGAAGTACTGATGGCAAAAGTTTGTGCTACATGTACTAGTCAATAAATGAGAACTCTACACAAGAATACAATGTGCACATAACTAATTTACATTTCTAGGGTAATAGTTCATTGGATAACACAACTTTCATTTGTTTGGGGTGGCAATGGATAAATTTGCTACAAATCTACTCTTGTAAGCAGCATACAGCAGGAGAATACAATCAATGTACTGCATAAAAAGAATTCACATAAACACACTGGTGCCTTTTAAGAATTTGTCTATCACCTCTGAAAGCTCTATTTTTGTTATGGTCCACTAGGCCCTAATTACAAATATTTCCTAGAATGGTTCTAAAGATCACTCATTATTTTGGTTTCATTAGTGGGAGATGATTTACAAATGTATCTGAACAAACTGGCAGAAACCATTTGTTCCTGCTTCTGAGCTGACAAGAATATTATTAAAATAAATGTATTGCAAAACTATAGTTTACTTTACATAATGACTATAAATAGATCTTTTACCAGGATCATAGTGGACTAATACACTTTCATTTTAAAATTAGCTAGATAGCCTGGCATATGCAGGAAAAGTCACTCAGCACACAAAAATTTCCTCTTCGTGTTGTGTAGATGAAGCTTCTCCTTAATATTTCTCTGGTCTGTGGTAGATGGCTCTGATAGAAAAGCTATCAGAGACATCTCCACCGTGACACTGGTCAAGACACAGAAGGAAAATGAAGGAATGCATGGTATTATTCATAGACTAATATTCAAACAGTGCAAGTATCTATGCAATGCATTTCTTATTCTGCTCTGCTGAAATCTAAGTGAGTTTTGCTATTGGCTTGAACAGCACTTTTTCTCTTGAAGTACTCAGCACCGTGAAGGATATAGTCCTTTCAGTTCTGCACGGAAAATACAGTATCATCTATCTATGCAACAAAAACAGTATGAATACCATGAATAATGAAATATTTTATGCTGAATCAGTCAGAACTTCTCTGAAAGCTTCTTGCTGCTTTCCGCTGGTCATTATGCGGAGAGATTCCAACTCTTTCTTTCCACTCGGTCACTGCACCCTTGCCAACAGCAATCATTGTTTCAGTAACTGTCCTAAGGCCCTCCCAATTGACTCAACCTGTTCAGTGACAACAGCCTGTGCCTCTAGCAGGTTGGGGCAAGCAAGGAGAGTTCAGCTGTTTGGGCAGCATTTGCTGGATGCTAGCAACCAACCCACAGGTGCATACGTTGATACCACAGTTGGATCTAATTCACAAGCCACCTAAGTAACTGGCATCCTGTATCATATGATTAATTACCGTTTGCTTTCTGTACCAACAGCGTTTGACCATTCTTTTAATTGCAAAAATGATTTTAAAGCAGCTTTCAATCTTCAGAGGGCAGACAGGCTTTCTAGAAAGACTTTTGAAAACCTTTGAACAGCCTAGAAACATATCATGAGGCTTTCACTCGACAGAAGAATTTGCACCCAGTACATCAAAACTCAGCATTCGTAGTTAAGGAAGTAAAGAGTGATAGAAGTTAATGGCATTTTGCCACCAGCAGGGCAATTATCAAATATGATGCATTTAATCTGAATGCACATTTTATATCAGTTTGTTACAGCCTCTCTTTAATGCTTCCAAAGCTATACTTTCTGAATACATACTGTAAAAAGTAGGCAGTACTTTTTCTCCTCTTTCATATATATGAATACTTCGGTTTTGGCTTTCTGGGTTCTTTGTTACAGATTTTATTTAGCATATGGAAAATTTTAAAATATGTATTACATAATATTGAATATGTGTATTAAAACATGAACTTCCTCTTCCTTGCATTTGTATGTGCATGCACGTGTGTTTTTCTTGCACCACACTGCAGCTACATCCTTTGTAACTTAAAGCTAAACCTAATAACATAATTCAACGCAGCAGCAAGATACTTTCCCCTAGAGTAGGATACGATGATGATGACATAATGCTGTGGTTTCCAAATCCCAAACCAGCTGTTACTGGTATATGCATTCAAATTCACTGTCTCTGCATCCGTGTGAGAGGCATAAAAGCTTGTGACTTGATTCAGTAAATGATTTATTATTTTGAATGTATAATTCAGGGACATAGCTTACACATGGCTTCAGCCACAGAGTGGGGAAAAGTAATTTAGGCAGTCTCCTACTGTAATAAAACAGAGAAAGGATATAATCCATCTGCACAGACCCAGTAGGTATTTTCCACCAACTAGCATGGGATCTGTTCACTGACTTTGGACTGAGGGAACAACTAAAAGCTGCCAATTTTTAAAATTGTTCCTTCTCTCTGACAGACATTCACACCAATTCCTTTATCTGCTATAAATAAATACAGCTGGGCATCGATCCCCTAAACCAAACTGCATCAAGAAACACAGTACCTGTTCAAGTATTACTGGGTATATTATGCTGTAACTTATAGTTGAATAAGGGTGGCAATAAAACTGTTGCCATGCTTATGGATACTGCAAGAAGCTGATTCTCCTGTGCTTGCTGTTCTTGAATATTTGAGAATATTAGCTCAATAAATGAAGGTCAGCTTTAAAGTAATTTCTCAACAGCAAGTCTAAAAAAAGAATACCACAGAAGCAACTTGAGACCTATGAGAAAGCTTTTTCCACTACAGTAAGTTGCTTTGATGGAGTACAAAATCCATCTCTGTATAAATCACTCATTTGCAAGGCAGAGGCTGGATACATCAATTGAAAGTCTCACTTTAAATCCAGACTAAATCAGACCTCTGAAACTCTTAACCTAATCCCTGCCCTCTGTACTATGTCATCATGACAATTTGTTTCCAGGGTTACAGTATTTATTTACTCAAACTAAAACCAATGTGAACAACTGCCCTGAATTTCAGCA